CCATGTCACCTGCGAATTAGACTTATTAATACACGTACCAGTCTGTCAAGAGACGTCTATTCTTAGCTGAATTTTCATTTTTCCTTTTATGCAGATATCCAAACATACCTGTTATTCTGCTTCTCGTGTAACTTTTCTTCCAACAGTTTATCTAGCCTGTTTTTACTGAGGGGAGTGGGGTGTGTGCACAGGCTACAGTTTATCAAAACAGTGGAGGTGACCCACTGTACCTTAACTCTAAAATACCTTCTATTCTCGCTTGAACATATTCCAGAAGTTTATGCTCTTTCAAGTTAAGTCACTGAACAATTTTGTATATTAATTCGGCAAGACGAAGCCTAACAAGAAAGACCATCCATTACTTTTTCATGGAAAAATAATTGTTGATCAAAGTGATGGATGTATTATAATCTAACAGAGGAGTAGTTAGATACTCCTGCAGTGGAAGCGAAGAAGCTTAATTACTTGCCTGCAATGTTAAAACGCAATAATATTTATTTACAAAGCTATCTAAAAAATGACCAGTTACGGACTTATGTGGGCAAAATGCAAGAACAAAACAAATATAACATGTCGTCTTGCGCAGTTTATCAAAGCACGGTTGTTACCAAAACTTCCGATTTCTTTCTTTGTAGAAGAACAACGTCTTTACTGTTTCATCGTCAGTGTTAAAGAAAAGGCTTCGTTATTATTTGGAAGATACATAAACAGGCCTTGATTTTTTATTTTCTTGTAGGAAGGACTATTTGAGCATTTACCATCAAAGCAACGTTCTGATTGGCAAATATTGCGGTAGTTTGACGTACAATTTGGCAGTGATGGCTGCCGGGAATTACACAGTCATTAATTTCCACTCGCAAAACGTTAAGAAAGGAAAGCGCGGATTCAGATTGCATTTCAGTGAGTTACCTCGAAATGGTAAGTGCAGTCAAGGGACAACATCGTAATATATCAATTTCTTTGGGACATAATAGAGAAGAGAAGTGTGACGTCACGTTACCATGGTAGCACAAAACCAACGACGATGGCGACGGCAAGAAGAACGGCAAAATATAATATGTTTATATTAACAAACAACAACTTTGCACGTGTATCACGCTATTTTGTACATTTCTTTTCCGTCGTTGCACCACTACCACATGAAACTTCCTAATTTCGCAAGCCCGCTTGGAGTAGCTGAACATGACACAAAAATTGTCGCTTTCTTTTTCTACACTTAGACAACAATAGAGACAGTTCCAAAGAAAACTTCGCCGAGATTTGCCAAATTAAGTGAAATTGAATAAGATCGGTGAAGTTTGAAATAGTGCGAGTAGACTTTTAAGTGACTTTATCGGTTTGTTGTCATCCAAAATTTTGCTACCATGGCAACATGACGTAAACGACTTCTCATCTCTATTCTCGAAATGAATAGTTTCGTGAGGTCTTGACAAGTGAAATTTCTCTCCTAATGGAATAGGGGGGCTCGGCCCGAAAGGGTATCTTTTTGAAAGGGTCGGGATTTCACTATTTGAAGTATTTAAAACGGTAGAGAAATTTGTCATTTGTGTGTGAGAAGGGGCCCAAAAGGGCTAACAGATGAATTTTATTGCTTTATAAAGAAGAGAAAACGTTCTACTTTTGTGATTGATTCCTATTTAAAAGACAGTGCATTGTATATGAAATGGGTTCTATTAAAAGAAGGTACACGGAAGGGGTACTTTTTCGCGGAAAATGGTATATAAAAGGAAGGTATTCCCATGGCAACTACATTCTCTAGGAGTGTTATTTTGGAAAAAAAAGTGGCAGTCTATGACTGCATCAGTGGCTCACTGCATAGCTTCATCTAAATAAGGGACGACGTCTGACATTAGCAGACTTCATAGTAAGCTTAATCATAATGGAGTTAACCATAAGGAAACCAGAGTAGAACAAAATAGCAAGACAACTCTGGGTATGAAGTGTGACATAGTGATACAGCGGTACATGTCACGCCAATGTTTAATGTAGTTACCAGTCCAAAAGATAAGTCAGACAATGACTAAGAGTTCAGTTAAACGTAACGTAATAAGTTTTATTTGAGATGCTTGTAACAATAATGTATATTTCACACTTTAAGTATCAGATATAAATCATCTGTGCTTTTAAAAGAATAAATAGCCATAATTTTTTAAAGTAACACTAGGGCAATAGCGCTAGAACGAAACAACGACGTTAATTAAGTTTTTTGAAAGGTCTCTGAGAGATCGGACGGTTCTTTTGTACAAAGGAATAAATAGAAGACTTCAATGCTAAAAAAAGTTGAACAAATAAAAAAAAAAGATGGCATTCCCGTTGACCCTATGGGAAGGGACTGCAGAGAGGAAAAAACAAGTAGCAAGTGAAGTCAAGATGGAGGCCAGGATAGGCGTGAGGTCACAAGGCATGCCGGATACTGAAACTTTTAACCGGAAGTTTAAAAACGTTTGTTGAAACTGGCACCTTCCCTTTTCGACTTTAACGAAAAAAGCAATTCAAGCTTATTTTGAATTTTGTTTGGTTAAAGTTGTTGTTTGTTTTGTCTTGCTCTTTTTTTCTTGCAAAAATAAAGGTTGCTATATTTGTAAGAATATATGAGCAAATAATTAAAAAATGTACGCACTTATAATAGAAGAGAAATAAACGTACACTTTTAGATTATCTTTTAACTTCTTTGGCAGAGCTATGTGGTTCAGCCATGGATAATATACTGAGATCCCCTGTATATGTTCAAAGTTATCCACCAAATATGAACTGCGTCTATAATATATCACTTCCACATGCCAAGGTGCAAAAGCTTGCATTTCAGATATTTGACCTGGCAATTGATCCAGAATGCAGGTGAGAGTACTATTACCACACGTTTAGTTTTCAGGTGTAGCTCTTTTGGCGACAGAGTACTTAACTTGAGACTTTAGTCTGCAGTCTTCTCTTTTAGGAAAATCTTCAATTCAATCCTCTTCTCAAATGAAGCTAGCGTTTTTAAGTATCCCATTTAGGTATGCCATACAAAAGACTTTTTGGTCGAGATATGACATTTTAAGTCCGTTATACGAAAGAAAATAATTTTCGCTTGCTTCGGATTGATGTCATCAGCAGAGTAGCTTTATTACATATTTCATTGGTGTGCGGAGCAAGGCACATTGCTGAAGCTTAAGGGTAACATGAACATCATTATTGGAGTGTTTAAGGTTAATAAATGCATAAACTTGACTATCTTGGCATAGAAGATGTTTGTCTATATACGAACGAATGAATCAATAAATCAATCAATGAAATAAAGAAAGAAAAAAGACGGGGAATGTAATGATCATTTGCAAACACGTAAACTATTTTTGGTGTCAGGAAAGGTGGCTTATTATGCCAATCGTTCCCCTGAAAACGCTAAGTTCAGGAAATTTAACAGTCGTCGTTTTTTGAGTGGAAAAACCACCGACAGTATTCTGAACAGAAGCCTTAATTTGGATTAGAATGTTTACAAAAGCATATAAAAAAATTTGTTTATTGTCAGCCCGTAAATACTGAACATTTCCTTTGCAGATTCGACTACGTGAACATATCAGATGGTAATAATTTTATTGGACGATACTGTGGTAGCTTAACTGGAGAAGTTATTTTTGTTTCACTGGACTATCTGGTATTGACATTTCACTCAGATGGGATATTTGATCCTGACAAAAGAGGGTTTGAAATATTTTTTGCGGGAGATGTTAACACGCCTGGTAAGTGAATACAAAAATCAACTATGTTACAGCCATACTGTATCAATAAACAGTCAAGAGAAAGGTTGTGAGAATTAATATGAACAAAAAAGGGAAAATTCGGCTTTGATCTTTTATCACAAATGAAAACGAACAGAGTTCAGAGTGTAGAATGTGTTTGCAAAGTTTCCGTGAATATTTCTTGTCTGCAAGTATAATGGCCAAGGAAACGACTGAAAAGGTTCAGTTTTATTTTGAGATTTATCACGAAAAAAGGACCGGCCAAGTGTTGAATTGCCTGAGGAAACAGCCGACATTTCATGATTCACCACTGGTTTTCCAGCTAAATGACGTCTGCAGAAATTCGACACTGTTTACCTGTCACTACCCAGGGAAACCATTGGTGTGGTAAGTCGACCGTTTTCTCAGGCTACCTAACTTATTCTTACTAATTTTCGCGTGTACTTAATTGCGCGAATATTCGGGATCCGTACTTTGCGACTACTAATTTTCACGATTGCAAAAACAAATTAGAGAAAAAGCGTACTTAATTTCACAATTTTGTCTTTGCTTTTATTTTCGTCAATCCTGAGCAGAGGGCACTTATGACAAATCAATAAAACATATATATTTCAAAGCAAGATTGTAAACTTAAAACTGCCCCATATAAAACCTTATGAACAAGACAAAACATAACTGCTTTCTGTGTATGTTGTCTATGCAATGTATATCATACAGTTCAGTGCTTGAAACGCAACTTGAGATGTTCAGTAAGTGCGCACAGTTAAAAAAACACTCGGACTCATGACATTTTAAAAATTCCTACTGCTTTGTTTTCGAAAATGGTATTAAATTTCGCGTGTTTAAATTTCGTACAATCTTTTGTTTGCACGTATTAAATTTCGCGAATTATTTAAATCGCGAAATTTAATACTCGCGAAAATTAGTACATTGTAAGAATAAGGTATTGAATTGGTACTTTGACGGTATATTTCAGCGCCTTGTCCGGTAGGTTGGATACTCAGCCTTTATGGTTCTTGCTACAAAATATCTTCCAACGAACTGAAGTGGTACAAAGCACAGTCCGCCTGTAAAGACCTAGGATCAAGCCTTGTTATACTGAACTCGTCGGCTAAAATACAAGAGCTCATCAAAAGAACAAACAGCCAGACGTGGATTGGCTTAAGGCGTGATCTCGTGGACAATTCAAGCTGGCAATGGGTTGATGAGTCTCGCGCTTTGTTTAGCTACTGGTGGAGTGGAGAGCCAAACAATTACAATAATAAAGAAGATTGTGTAGCAATGAACCCTCACGTAGGAAAATGGAATGACCGAGCGTGTTGGAAGTTTCATTCTTACGTTTGTGAAAGCAACGGTAACACAATTTTTTAAGATTATACGATCAAAGCGAATATAAAAAGCCCAAGCAAAACTGTAAATCTGATACCTACAGCAATAGCAAAGATAATTCTATTCAAAGTTTTCTTGACATGTAAGTCAACTATGAAGTTACTATGACAACCGTTTCAACAGCCATGTTATTAAAATTTGCATTTTCCCTAGCGAAAATAAGTTCCTTTTCTGTTTTAACTGAATCATAATGTTACACTTGACTATTATTTTACCATATATGTAACTGTGAATGCAATACAGGCCTTCTAGGGACAACTTTCAGATGCAAAATAGCAGATGCCGGTTTAAGTTTTCAAAAGTATTCATTTCTGCAGCTAGAAAACAAAGAAAAATTTCACAGGTTTTTACACCGACAATGACCGCAAACCGGTAGTAAAAAGGTTCTCGATTCGTTCAAGCCAAGACAAACTATAAGAGAATTGTAAGATATGATCTAATAATTAAGATGCTGATGTTTCAGTTCGACTGGTGATTATTACTAAGAAAGGCAATATGATTAAAAATTGTGCATTTAATTCTGCAGCATGCGGTTCAGTGATAAACAGTACTACACTTTCAAGTGTAGGATATCCGAACTACTATCCAGAAAACATGGACTGTACTTGGACCTGGAAAATTCCAAAAGGAAAAATTTTGAAAGTGACCTTTACATTACTCGACATAGAACCTTGGTGGGATTGTTGGTAGGCGATTTAAATGTTTTCTGAAAATTATGAATTAGAGTTGGGTCCTTGAGTCACATCCACCGGAAATCAGTGCTACAGAGCTGAACTTCTGCCAACGGGCACCTCCCCTTAGCGGGCATTTTTGAAAGTCCCATTGGGGTGAAGCGCGCAGTTCTTTTGTTCATTTTACAATGACAGCTCTAAGGCTTGGATCTTTTGTGTCATGTGATAATACTCCACAGAAATATAAATTTCGTTTTACTTACCTGCATATGTACGCATAATTTATGAAATGATGTTTAATTTATGAAAGAATCCAAAATTTATTTATAATGTATTGTAGTGGAGTTTTCTCTGTGAGTAATCCAGGCCTCTTGGCAAAGTTTATAAATAATAAACAAATATGTTATGACATCTTCCTGAGACCTTCATTTCGAAAACAAAAAGATAAACAGTTAAATATTAGGTAAAGAGAGAAAGACACCTGCGAGCTGGGGTTATTAATTTAGAACAACTTCGTTCCCAGGGTCCTCTCCTACTCGGCCCCCGTGGCGGAGAGGACCCTGGAAACGAGGTTGAATTTAGAACACACCCGTCTGCCAAGAGGGGCGTGAAATTTCATTACCATTTACCTTTAAGCAAATATTCAATGCAAGCACGCTTGTTATTCTGCTTCTAAAAAAACTGTTTCTTCGGACAGTTTAGTTGAAACAGTTTGCTGAAAACAGCTTCTATTCTAGCTTGAACATTTCCCAGAGTTTTATTGTCATAACCAATTAACCATAACGCATTGATTCTTTTTCTAGAAGAACCATGGTGTTTTTACTGTTTTAATGTACCCAGTATAAAACTTCTTCGTCAGTGTTAAAGGAACGGCTTCTTTATTATTTGGAAGATAAACAGGCTTGGACACTTAATTTTCTTATAGGAGGGACTATTTGAGCATTTACCATCAACGCAACGTTCTGATTGGCAGATACTGCGATAACTTAAACACCAATTTGGCAGTGACGGTTGCCGGGGATTACACATTGATTGAATTCCACTCGGAAAACGTTAAGAGAGAAAAGCGCGGATTCAGATTGCATTTCAGTGAAATGCCACGAAGTGGTAAGTGCAGAGCGACCCAAGCGTAATTCAATTGTATGGGAAATAATCCTCAATTTTAATCTACTCTGCACGCAAGCAGAAGCCCTTCGATTTTACTGGATAAGCAAAGTCTGGACGCCATCTAAACTGATTGCTATTATTTAAAATGAAGTATTAGATCCTCAGCGGCGATATTTTACACATCACGTATGCCGTTTTGTAGAGATTGTCGCAACTGCTTACTGTTAAAAGTTTACGCTTGTTGCAAAATGTCAAAACACGTCGAAATCCTAACAAATGCCCTTCCCCGACTTACCCTAACAAACACGCACATTACGATGGGCGTATGGATTTGCTCTAAGTTCGAGGGCTAAAACTGTTGCCATACTTTGAGCCAGTGGAGTAGCCAAACAGTTTGTGTATCCTGCATGACAGACGTTAGGTAGTGATTGAAACACGGGCCGCGAAAGAGTTATTTTTGAACTTAATTGCAGTTAAATTTTACAGTTGATACTGAGCACGATCCGCTTTTGCTTTCTGAAGAATCGAATATGAATTTAACCAATGAAAACGTCGTGCGCTGGCGTTACAAACTTGGCAAAATATTATCCAGTACTTGGTGGTAAGGAACGTCGCCCAAAGGACAACGTATTTAAAAAGCGAAGCCTTCGAGGGAGGCAAGAATTGTCGAGAAGAAAAACTTAGCTGGTTTTATTCGTTCACAGTCATTAGCTTCAGCGGTATTCCGGAACACTGGATAATATTTTACCAGGTCAAAATGACGTTCTACTTGATTTAACAGTATAAGTAAAAGGAGACGCGCGCTAAAAACAGTAAAATTTCACTACAATCAACAATCAAGGTCATAAAATAACTCCTCTGCACTCTGTGGCAGAAACAATAATAATCCAAACGCAACTACAGCAATGCAAAAGACGTTCCGATGATCTCTCACTTTCTCCAACAGACCTATGCGGTTCAGCGATGAATAATATAGTGAGATCCCCTATATACGTACAAAGTTACCCACCAAATATGCACTGCGTCTACAATATATCAGTTCCACATGGCAAGCTGCAAAAGCTTGTATTTCAAATATTTGATCTGGCAATTGATCCAGAATGCAGGTTAGAGCCTATTTTCCATTCAATCTGTTAGAGAACCTAGTATTATTGAACTCATAATGAGAGAAACTATTTTTTTTTTACAATTTTCATTGGTATAAGATGAGCACTAAATGACACGAATTATTATCAATGATGACACTTAATTTTCTAGCTGTCATTTTAATGTCAATTTTAGTTCCTACAAACGTGATGCTTCCACCAAAAGATGGTTGCCTTCTAAATCTCGAAGTGAAGTGTAGCGGTTACGCGTGAGCCTATGTTCTTATAGTGTTCCATAAAAAAAGTATGCTCCGATATAATTAACACACTCACATCATCATTCGGGTTGTTATGGTTTCTAGAAACAAAATTTGACGCTCGTCAGCATAGAGCATGCAAATAAAGTTTTGATGATTACGTCTTGAAAGAGTTAGAAAGCAAAAAGTAAAGATCCAAGACTGGATCCTTGTGCGACACCACACTCAATACATTCGGCTTAATGTTTATTTGCACTGTAAAGGAGCAGAGAGAATGCATTTGTTTAATGTTAACTCGTGAAATATTGATTGTTTCCTTTGCAGGTTTAACTACTTGAACATTTCAGATGGTAATCATCTCATCGGCCATTACTGCGGTAATTTAACGGGAAAAGTTATTTTTGTTTCACGAGACTATCTGGTGTTAACATTTCATTCAAACGAGAACTTTGACCCTAACAAAAAAGGATTTGAGATATTCTTTACGGACGATGTAAATATGCCTGGTAAGTGAATATAGAGTACAAACACATCACGGGAAACTTGTTTAACGTGTTTCTCCAACATGGCGAGCAGTTTTGAAAATTTATACGCGGGGTTATTTCAGTTAACAACTAAAAAAGGCGTGAAATCGAGACCGAGATGCCTAAACATCAGTACTCGCCCAGGGTTCGTTTTCGCCTCTTTTGCTTTTACCACATTTTGACGTCATCAGCGATTTATGAATGAACACAGAACAGGCACAAGGTATCCTTGAATGTATATGTTAAAAAACGTCCAGAGAAAAAGGTTAGGAGAATTAATATGATAACCAAAGGGAAAATTCGGCTTTGGCCTTTTGTCCAATGAACGTGAACCGAGATGACAGAATGACAAATTGTCTTTGTGGGCGAGTATAATTGTCAAGGAAAAACTTCAGTGTTATTTTAAGATTGCGCTCTAAAAAGGGGACGGCTACGTATGGAAACACCTGCGAAAACAGCCGACATTTTGCGACCTCCCAGGTTTCCCTGCGAAATGAAGTGTAAGGAACGACTGCGGAAATTTCACACTGATTCCATCGCAAGATCTAGATAGTGCCTCTGATTGGTTTTAATTAGTAACATTTCGCGGCACAACTAGACTCACGCGTGCTCTCGACCTACTGCTGTGACTCAAACCAAGAATAAGAGACTGCTCGCAGTCTAAGGCACAACTAATTAGAAGCACTACCAAGACCTGGGTAGACGTATGTAATTTTTTTGACTCATCCATTAGAAGTCATCTCACGGAGAAACCAGTGCTGCGGTCGCGAAATGTTGGCTGTTTTCTCAGGCTAACTATTGAATAAGCTTTACTTTGACTATATGTTTCAGCACCTTGTCCAGTAGGATGGACAAGCCTTTATGGTTCTTGCTACAAAATATCTTCTAACGAATCGGACTGGCACTCAGCAAATTCAACCTGCGAGGAACTGGGATCAAGTCTTGTTATTCTGAACTCACTGGCTAAAATACAAGAGCTCATTAGAAGAACAAATGGGCAGACGTGGATTGGTTTACAGAGGAATCTCAGGGACAGTTCAGGCTGGCAATGGGTCGATGGGTCCTCCGCATTTTATAGCTACTGGTTGAGTGGAGAGCCAAACAATAGCGGAGGCAAAGAAGATTGTGTAGTAATGGACCCTCATATAGGAACATGGAATGACCAAGGGTGTTGGTCTTCTCATTATTACGTTTGTGAAATCAACGGTAACACAACTTTCTATGATATAAAGTACAATCAAAAAGTAAAGTAAATTGTTTATCTAAGATCGCAATAAATCTGGACATTTCCCATAAAGGTAATAAAGGTAGACTTCTTGTATTATAATAAAACGAAAATCTTTCTTTTTTTTTTCAGCTACAAAAATACCAGCAGTCAGCAACAACAACTTTTGATTCCTCCGCTTATGATAATATTCGTTAATTTCAGAAATATTAGAGACCTTTAGATTCTAGGGCGAGAACGACTACGAGTACGAGATTTCATTTAAAATTTTCGCGTATTCTCAAATAATAGACACCGGGAAGAGATTCATTCTACATCGCTTTCACTAAAAAAAATTAGCGCTGTTATCTTGATTGAAAGAGGTTAAGCTCCCAGCTGCAGAGTGATAAAACCTATAACACTTTATAACAACTTACTTGTGTCCGCTAACACGCTAACTCGTAGTAGAATGACGACGACTGTACAGTCAAGTTTCCCGCCAAAATGACGCTGGTTCACTCGCACGCACTACTGAGTATTGAGGAAATCTGGAACTCGTAGTCGTACTCGTCTTAGAATCTAAAGATCTCTATTTGTCCTTCGCAGGTTGCCCCCAGGACTGGATTCAAATCCTCGGTTCCTGCTACAGAGCCTTTTCTTACGCACTGGATTGGTTCGCGGCAGAATCGGCCTGTAAGGCAATTGAATCTAGTCTTCCTATAGTGACTTCACGTGCCGAACAAGATGCCCTTGGCTCATTTCTAACACAAAGCGCGTGGACTGGTCTGCACAGAAATCCCAGTCACAATTCAAGTGGGGTTGGTTTTGTCAGTGGTTCACAAGCTAGTTACGTTCATGAATTACGCAGTCAATTGGATAGTTTGACAGGCGAGGGAGATTGTGTAGAGATAAATTCGAAGGGAAAACTGAAAAATAGAGACTGTAGTCATCACCATCAGTACCTATGCACAATATCGGCAGGTAAGTAACTCCAAGAAAACTTCATGTGTTTCTAGAAGAGTTATAATTTTTTCCCAGATCATGCTTGTGTGTATTGTATATGAAATAAAAAGAAGACAAAAAAATTAATACTTGATTGCAAGGTCCATTAACCTCAACCGGAGCGACCCACTCATATACTAATCACGGCGTTTCCACAATCATCAAGTAATTTTAGATTCATTGTAAAGTACTTTTCCAGCAAAAATAAATAAGCCCCCAGTAAAAGAAACGAAATGGATTATACTTTGCTTATCTTTTACACTCTGTATATATATTTTCAAAGGAACTAAGTGCAGAAAACCTTCACTGCGGGATGATGTGCTTGTTTCACCTTCTGATTGTCTTTTACCAACTCACCCACATGGAAAGATTTGCTCCTTTTACTGCGCCCGTGGATATCAAGTCAGCGGTCCTTCATCTGCTCGTTGCGGGATTGGTGGATCATGGAGTGAGGATGCCAACACCATCATTTGTGATGGTTTGTATCTTGATCGTTTAAGTTTCACTTCCTCCCTCAGTTGTAGCTTTAAACATAAGCCATTGTTTGCAATTTTTTGGATTGCTGTCAATCCAACCCGAAAGCTATTGCCTTCTGCAGATTAGGGCTTGTGAATCAAGATGACCCTCCAACAGGTTAATCGGACGCCTTATACCAAGTTTGTGCAGCATGTTTTTAATTGTCATCATTATATAAATAATCTTCAGTTTTACAATAATTATCACCAACGCTACAACCAACACTACCACCACCATTACCACAATTATCATTATCATCATCATCATCATCATCACCATTATCATCATCATCATCATCATCATCATCAACAACAACAACAACAACAACAACAACATGGTGATAAGCATTGCTACAATCTTAAGGACCATATCATCTTTATCACCATTACCTTTTACGTTCATCAAACCCAGGTGCACCGTTTAATGTTACAGCCAGATTACCCCGTCAAAGACGAGTGCTGTTCAAGAGCCGTTGTTGTTTGTTTTTATTCAATAGAATGTGAAGAAGCTCTCGGTATGGGAGACGGAGAGATCTCCAACGGGCAAGTCATTGCTTCTTCGCAACTGGATGCCGAGCATGCAGCCATCAAAGGCAGACTAAAGGCTATAAGAACTTCAAATAAAGTAGGATCGTGGTCACCTTATACCAATGATGTTAAGCAATGGTTGCAGATAGATCTGGGCAGTCAAGAGCGCACCCTCGTAGCAAAGATTGCTACTCAAGGAGAAAATGCTGACAGCACGTGGGTCACACATTACACATTACAGTACAGCGACAATGGAAATAATTTCAATGTTTACAAAGAGCTAGGACAAGGTAAAGATAAGGTGAGACGCCTATTCTTCGCCAAAGTGAAAAAAAAAGCAGTTTAGCATTTCTCCAGCAACTTTTAAATACGAATATATTTTGCTCATGTGCACTTTTGGTCAGAGTAAAAATATGGCTAGCAACCCGCTTCCCTTGAGGAGTGCAGCAAGAAACGAATTTATTGACTGAATTTAACACTTGTGCGTCCTACCTGGATTTTTCAGGTGTTCGATGGCAACACAGACCCAGACACCATTGTTTTTCATAAACTAAATCCAATCATAAGAGCACGGTACATCCGTTTCCTACCAACCGCTTGGCACAAACACATCTCTATGAGGGTAGAACTCTTTGGGTGTAAAGGTAATTAATTAGCAGATGGCTTTCAATAGACCACTTTCGATATATTAAAATTCATACCTGGCTCCGGGGCTCGGGGGAATAGAACAAAAGAAATGCATAATTCATCGCTGAACCTCAAGATGATTCATCTTGTTTCATTCGAGACGAAGCTTCGCAGCCAAGTATGAATTTTAATACGTCGGAATTGGTCTCAGTATTCAAAGCATCCCTCTCAAGCAATTCACATTTATCTTAGATACATTTTGACGCAAATTAGGTGACAGACGGTTGCTTATTTTGTTTAAGAGATATGAAACTACTAATGGAAAGAGTTCAGTCAATTCCGAATAGTTATAATAGTTTTAAACAGTTTTGTTTTGAACAGTTGCGACACGTAGATATATATTTTTTAGCAACTAATATAAGTTGCAGTCTGTCTACTTTGAATTACCTTGAAATATAGATAAAATAGTGCCAAAAGAACACAAGTGACAAATTACAACATGATACATGAAAAACTACCAAAAGAAGAAATGTACTAAACAAAATTCTCTTTAGCATTAGAAGAATTCAGTAAATTTTGTGATTCAAAGTCAAAAAATAAAATCTTTCATGAGTCAATCTGACAAATGATCTTTCCTTAGGGACAGCAAATTTGGGCCACTGGTTCCTAGATGGTTCTGATTCAGATGTAAGGTTAGTATTACATATAAATAACCTATTGAAGAAATATGAAGATAATGATTTTGATGAGAACAATGATGATGATGGTCATCATCATCGTTATCGTCAACGCCTTTCATCAGAGAAGATCTATCCATGATAATGTTCTCCATGCATTTGATAGATATTCACAAGTCACTTTCTGCATCAAAGGAGAGTCCCTTCATATTTTCTCGTAGCTTCCAAAAACTTTGAAAGATTTCTTGTGGTGTGCTTCTTTTAAGCTTAATATTTCATATTGATTTAAACCAGAGGCAAACCATCCGAACTGTCCAAGGCATCGTGATGTCACGTGCGACATGTGATCCCATTACATCAACATCTGGGATCAAAAGATGTAAAATTCTGTGTTTTGTAAAGCATTCTACCGATCACTTAAATGAAGCCGAGCGCGGGCTTTATGAAATACAGTAAATGTATGGGATCACATGTCGAGCGTGTCATCACGATGCCTTGAACAGTTTGGATGGTCTGCCTGTGTTAAAACATTAATTACTCTAATTTTCATTTCGTAGGTTTTTTGGTGCGGTTAACTACACTGGAGGTTGGTGCCTTGGAAGTAAAGCTGTGTCTTTCAGTCAAAAAGGCTCCTTTGTCACTGTGCCCAAAGTAAACATTACAAACTGCGACTTTACAATTGCTTTTTGGATTAAATCCGGTGATATAGAGGGACCTTTAATAGCGATTTGGTCTGTGAGCGGAAAACTATTTTACGCGGCAATAAAGAATTCCAGTGTCATCTTGTCGATACATAACACTATAGCAAAAGCAAACTTCGCAATCAGGGAATGGAATCATGTAGCCATAACCTGTGAGGAGTCTAAGATCAAGGTGTTTGTAAATGGAACAGAAATTTTAACGAAGGAACAATGGAACGAGTTCTTCTTCTTATCGTCAGACCATCTTGAGACGGAAAATGTGATAGGAAATCATCCAGTCCTGTTCAAGTTGCCATTGGTAAATAAACCTTTTGTTGGGGCACTGATGGACCTTCATGTAATCGAAACTGCCTTGTCTGCAAATCAGATTTCTGACTTGGGCAAAGGTAATCTGTTGTTGTTAGGGAGTTTAACCAAATGAGTTTTTGAGTGACGCACGTCGACCGGAGGTGAGCTGTTTTCGCTCTTGATACAACTTGACGCTGCCAAAATCGTAATGCCTCGTTGTCTTGCTCTTATATAAGGGACTTGACGATCGGACTACGCGACGGCAGCAAAAATGTCGCTCCGCTCGGGCGCAAATGATGCTACTCGGGCCACAAATAAACTATATGCCCCCCAAAAGTCATGTGATTGTCCTAGTGATCTAAAAATGCATACGGATTACACTGAAAAAACGGAAGTAATTTTGAGCTGGTCAAGAACGTGAGCGTCTTGTTAGACGAGATGTGTAAACGGGGCTGATTAAAGCAGCTGGAGTGACAACTCTACAGTCGCGAAACGATCCCCATATTTTGGTGTTCTTATCTTAATTGATCAGAAACAAAAGAATTAAACCGAATCCCTTGTAGCCAACACACAAGTAAATAATTAACTGATGACGATATATTTTTGTGAACCTAAGGCACGCCGAAAACTCCAGTTATTAACAAGAAGGAAAGCAAGATAAATGGTTGCACAGTAAACCTCACATGGAGCCGTGACGTGTGTGCCACTACGAAGGACACCATATGCTTTAGGGTGATAAATCCACAGGGCTACAGAGCAGAACGCCGGGTACAAGAGCATACTTCAGCGAAATTATACCATCTATTGACACTTGACTGCGACAAAATCTATCAGATTGAAGTGTCTTCGTGGATTGGAGAACTCCAGAGCGACTGGTCTACTCCTTGGCAAGTTCAAACTAACTCACCTAAGATAAAGCAGGAAACACAAAACGTCTACTGTAAGTACCGCAAGGGAACAAAATAGTTATAGATTGCCTTAACCCAAGCCGCGCTGGCGTTCCTCCTCAGAAGACATTCTTAGGGCCTCGTCACGCGTTGTTGCGTGACCATTCAAAGCACCGTCTACGTGGAAGGCTACTTCCCTTAGGACAATCCGTTCAGAGCCGTCAGGTCATGTATGATGCCATAAATAAGAAACAAACCAGAAAATGCCGGCCGCAAGAAAAATTGTCCTAGATGTACCTATAATTCATCTCTCTATTATCTTGAACAGGGTAAATGGAAGAGCAGGTCATTGCCACAATAATGACCGGCGTTTAATAGAAGTCGCGTTCATGCGAACAAGAAAATTTTCTACCTTACCCTACGCGCACGGTCATTATTTTTCAGAAGAAGTCCTAACTAACTGATTATTATCCTATTTATAATCTCCGTCACTTTTTTTTTAAATATAAGGAGACTCTACCTAATGAAGTCACAAAAATTCCGAGAAAGAAGCTTCATTACCCTAACTGAGAAAACAGCACGAAATTCTAAGGCAAAGGCATAGTTACTTGATATGAAAAAATCATTTAAAACTTGAAAAATCAAGTCAAATTATGAAGCCGTCTTTTTTACAACAGACCTTTTTTGGCCACTTCCGCAGGTGAGATGGGCAAAACAAAAATACATTTTAAAAGTGATATATGCAAAAAGTTCAGAATGCAAAAAAATACAAAAACAAACTCCCGTAACCGAGACAATAACACCTATCCTCTTATGGATGACGTACATGTAAATTGGATAAATTCCATATCTTTTACATTAATTTATTTCTGTCTTTCCAGCTAACGATGACGCTATTAAAGCGTTGGGAATAGCTCTTGGAGTCACTGCTACTTTTGCGGCAGCAATTCTCGTAGGGATCTACCGAAGGAGGCAAAAAAGAGAAGAACGGTATGCTTAAATGGCACTGAAAAGTCAGGAGGGTCTACTTAACGCATGTTAACAAAGTTGGACACTAACACTGACACTCGCGTCATATCCGACAATTTCTTCGAAAAGTAGTTCCCGATTTGTTGTCTTTTTTTTTTGCGCGGTGTATTTTCCGATTGACGAAAAATCTAAATACAAAATCGGGCCAACTTTTCTGTTCACCATGCCCTGATTGTTCAAACGTTGGATAGCGCTATCCAACGTTTGAACAACCGGGGCCATATGTTTTCGTTACAAAACCGGGCAGACAAACCGTTACGTATAAACTGGCCTTTAAATTATAAATGCCGTAACCTTAACAGGAAGGTGCAGTGTGTTTCTTTCGTTTGTTTGTTTGTTTTTCTTGTTTTCGCCTTAAATGCAGTTTATTTTTCGACAGACGGCAGGTACGTAGCGTGCTCGGGCTAGAACGAAGACAGACATGCGCACTGGACCCCCGTTTCAACTCTAAGTCAAATTGTAGTCAAGGAAATCGAGTCACTTCTATTGGTCTCCATAAAAATGGAATTTTCCGTAATGTGTCTAAGCAACAGAGGTGGCGGAGCCTTTCGAAACGTGGGGGGGGGGGGGCTCATCAAAGGGTCTTTTATACAAAGACCCCAGTAAGGGCGAAACAGCTGTCCATGGCTGCCACTGCCCGAATTTGACCACCGCCTTGTTACCTCAGTTGGGAGAGCGCCGGTCTGCTGAGCGCGTTGTTCGTTAGCACAGGCAAATCTCTTTGTAATCTTCACAGTGAAGATGGCGATTTGTGACAATGTATCAGCAGGCATTTGTTTAGGCTGTCCTGATTTATGATACTTTTTAGGTAGCAAATCGTCCAGTGATGTCACAGGTAATGTCAAATACATCCGTAATGGCGATTACAGACTTTTATCGGGGGTTGTAGGGAACACCCTGCTCCTCCGCTTACGTAGTTAGAAAACCCGTTCTTCCCACGCAGTTTCTTCATAGTGCGATCATGTACGAAACAAAATTTTTTGCTAATATTGGCTGTTTCCTATTTAGATCCAAGAAAGAAATTGTTCATTTTATGTCACTGGAAGTCCCACACGAGCGAGTAACCTTCATGGAGGAACTTGGTCGAGGGGCTTTTGGCAAGGTTCATAAAGGTGTGATGAAGGAGGTAACAGACGCAAATACATATTCCGATACCAGTGAAAGAAATCCAAATGTACGTTCCAAGGACAGCCTGCGAACATTGACGGGCAATAAGGGACGAATTGTTGCTGTTAAAGTCCTTCTTGGTGAGCTACTAAGCCATTTTCGATGAATGTTTACAAATCATGTTCGACCAGCACGTTGTTAACGTAAATAAAGTTTGTGTAACTTTAAAGGGATTTTCTTCTTTTGTTGCCAAAGAGGCCGTTGTGGAGAGCTTCCACTGTATTTTTTGCGTATTGTTGTTCTCAAGTTAGAAATCTATTCAACTGGTGCTCCATACTAGTCTAAGTGGGGAGGAGCGTTGCGTGACGACACTAAAAACGGCTGTGTAGCAGACAATCTTGGACAAAATAAAATGGAACAGCAAACCCCCAACCCCCCTCCCCCCGCGCCTCCCAATCAAGGATGAAGCCGCGCGAAGGGCAAAAACGCGCCATTTTCCCATCCTTGATTTGGGGGGGAGGGGGGGGTCTAGGTTTTCCATTTATTTTGTCCAAGATTGTAGCTCCATGCAGGACTGGAGTCTTCCTGTTCCTCTGCGATACAAGATCTCTTCTACTTGAGACTTGAGCTTAGTAAATATGCCCTTCATCATCACTTCCTTTGCATGGTTACGCAGTTCACAAACCCTCTCGATATTGTTTTTCTAGACTGATTTTAACTGATATTCTTTTGTTCATTAACTTCCGTTTTTGTTTAGAAAATGCTGGAGAGGAGGAAAAACGACAGTTTCTTCAGGAAATTGACCTCATGAAGGACGTTGGATCGCATCGAAACATTCTTAGCATACTCGGTTTTTGGATTCGATCGGAGCCTATCATGTTGATCATGGAGTATGTTCCTCACGGAGATCTTTTGAAGT